TGTGTTTGAGCAAATTTTGAGTGTTACAAACTTATAAAGTATATAATGCCTTGCTGTGTTATACGTTCCTGCTCTAGCGATAGACGTTTTTGTGAAAAATCGACTGGAATTACGTTTCATAGGTTAGTATCAAAATTATAAATATTATACAGGACAGTATTATGACAGGTTTGTATAAAATGTGTAAAAGTATGCTTTTAAAAATGCAAAAAAATCATCTATCAACTTTTGGGCCTACCTATATTGGAATAATACTTTTTCATACGAAATAATATTTATAGATTTCCAAAAAATCCTATAAAACGTAGCGCGTGGATACAGTTTGTCAACAAGTATAATTGGTAACCTTCTAAATTCAGCAGTACATGTTTCAAGCATTTTCTTGAGAAGTACATTAATCGTACGCCATTTCGTTTATCAAATTTAATTTATAGGCATTTTATATTCTTATTTCTATTTAAATATAACCTACATTTGCTGTCCTTCCACCAATTTTATTTATTAGTTCTACAGCTGATTGAAAAGTAGAGCTTCATGTTTTGTGTATGCATGAGTATTGTTTGTTTCATTATAGTTAATTTAAAACAATATTAATATACCTTTTTAATTACCTATAATTTGTTTTAGATTAGTGCTTTTAAAGGAATTGGTGAAAATGAAGCGATTCGCCAACTTTGGGGATGTGCCAGAAAAGTGACATCAAAGTTATTCAACGGTTCCAGAATAAAGCATTAAGGAACATCGTCAATTCACCCTGGTACTGCCACAATACTGATCTTCATAGGGACCTTAAAGTGGAGACTGTTGAAAATACAATACAAAAATTTGCCAGTAGTCACCAACAACAACTGTACCAGCATGGAAACCTCGAGATTATCCAGCTCCTCAACAATGCCAAATCTAATAAGAAGACTCAAAAGACCAAGCCTTTTGAGTTAGTTCAGTGATGTTAAAGCATAGTATAGTGCAGTTAAGTGATTTAGACTCTAAGGTATACTAGATAGTAGAATATCAATTTGTGAAGTTTTTCATCCCTTGATAAGTTAGAATAAAATTTCTAAATGATTTTAATGATTAGATTGTAATAATCGTAAATGTTTCTTTACTTGGGGCATTTATTAAAAAAAAATTTGCAAGACGCACTATACAAACTTAAATATCACATTTTCAAATTTTTTGGTTTTTTATCAACAATAATTATAATCGTCAGTTGGTTACTCAGTACTACACTTGTCAACTACGTTTCCTTTTTATGATAAATTTCAATTAATAATATGCCAAAATAGTGTACCTTTAATGATTTTGTCATGAATATTCGCGAGCTGCTTGTATGGAGTATCAGTGACAATTTCCATACCGACAAGTTCCAAGGCACCAAACATTCAGTGCTGTGTTTCGACATATTCCAACACATGGCATACATACTATGTTAATATATCTTGTAGCTTGGTAACCATGTAGAATTGGATATTTGTTCATAGGACATTTTATGCTTGAAATGAATTCAGGAATATAATATTTAAGTTTGTATAGTGCATATTATGAACATACTGTATATAAGTTCTTATAATAATAAATATTTAACATCAATACTCACTTAGTTTTTTTTTAATGAGACTAGCAACAAAACCATAACCGTTTGTCTAGTTTTAAAAATAAATATCACTCATATATATGGATAAGAAAATATTAAAACTTTATTCCTTGTACACTTTTATTTAATCACAGTACACATTATTTGCATTTACGATATTTGCTTGTCGTTCATATGCTCCAGTCTATTTTGTTCACCTTTTCTAGTGGCTTTTTCTGCTAAACTTTAGTCCCTATTCTACCTTCACGTAGGTAATGAATTATTCAACCATTTAGTCAACAAAGGGGTTTTACTTGTTTTACAGTAATATACTTATCTTTAATGTTCAAGTTTTAGAATTTAAACTTGGATTGGGCCATTTTCGTCAATTTTGTTCTTAGAGCTTTTGGAAAAACACTTGGGAAGTACTCTTACAAATTTATTTTTTATTTTGCCTAGCGAAGAAATTGTGTATAAGGAAATATTCTGGTTTTTACCTCAGTGATCAAGAAAAGCGCTTACAGTGGATACTTTTCCTAACTCGATAAACTTTTATTACCTAGATGTTGGCCTCCCTTTATCACCAGCCTACAATTTCAACTCTTTTGCTGTTAACTTTAACTTCATCTGTGACTTTAACTATGATTAAGACTTCAACTTTATCTTCACATTCTTTGTCTGACTTTCAATCATAAATGCATGATTATTGTGCACAGATCAATTAAATTGGACCGGCATGCTTGTGGTGCATGTTGTGTGTTACTACGGTAGGCCTTTACATAAGTAGCCATAATCTCTGCAGCTGGTGAGAAGCCCAGCTCAAACCAACTACCATAATATCGTCATTGGATCTATAGGTCTCAAGTAAGATCTCTTCATATTTTACATTTGTTAGAAGTGCACCTGCACATCGCTGGTTGTGGCTTCGCTGATTTACTGAATGTCTTGCATGAAGATATACACCTTTCAGTCTGAATCTACAAAAGGACCAAGACCAAGTAAGATTAATCCACATTTTGATTTCCTGAATAGTGCATCTACCTACACAGAGATTGCTTATTAGCCATTTTCCGCGAGCCTTGCATTAAGTTTCGTATCTGATTATCGAGCTTTTAGTGTATGAACATTTGTTCTTAATTTCGAAAAAGCTGTTAATTAAAGTAAGGTTAGATTACTTAACATTTGCGACCTTGTACTTTCCGATTTAAAGACAGAAAGTATTGGGCTCATAGAAAAACAAAAAACTAAAGATTGGGCTAATTATGTGCCCTAGTGCAAACGTGTGACGACTGATCCAATAAATCGAACTCTGTTTACTTTTGTCGCTTATGTGAATCAAAAATGTACTATTTATTTTTTCTGTGAATGATTTCAACGCTTTAAGGTTAATTTCACCATTGTGTTAAAGTTTAAACTATTAATTGAAGATTAAAATTACATTTTATATAAAAATGTCATTTTAAACTTCGTTAAACCCAATGGTGGAATCGGCCCCAAGTTAGTTATATCATGGTCATTGATTAGTTGCAATTTTGCAAATAATATATTCTCCAGCGCTTAATAGTCACTTGAGTGATAATTAAATCAGTTATATTTTATTTCTTTCATTTACTTTATTCAGCACCTCTCGGCTGAAAACCGGGCATATTTAAGCTTTTAAATCCCCTTCTTTTATAACCTCGGCCTTCCACCACCTTTTAAGTCAATGTCCATAAAAAGGAAATTAATTTTTTTATAATTCAAATAATGATACTTAACCAGAAATAGTACAATAAAAACTTGTAAATCCGGTTCTGCTCTTCCGCCATTTTAGTGAGTGCAAAAGCCACGCCTACCGGTCCCACTTTTGTATATCAAAAATAATACATATGACGTATCCTTACGTTTCCTTATCAATGAAAATAATACATATGACGTATCCTTACGTTGCCTTATCAATGATGTTGGGCGTGTCGGACCTCTCTCTTGCCTCGTATAGTATTTTCCAGTCCAAATCAGCACAAAATAATTCACACACAATAGACGACAAAATAACACACTTTTTTTAAGAACTAAATAACTTTAATAAGCAATATAAACCACATACTTAGAATATAAACACACTGCAACTCGTTGAGAATAATAATGTTCTAATTGTGGTTCGAATTGTCAAGAAAATGATCCATATGCAACTAACAATACAAGAAAGTAATATTGGTTAACTAAATGTCAGGAACGTTTAACCAAAACACAATTTTAGTCAAAATTAAAAAAAAAATTGTATGTAACACGTTATAAAATGCCTTTTTATGTAACTCGTTCATGTTGCGGGACCTCGCTCTGCTCGTCCCGCAAATATTCACTCGTTACATAAAATAAGACATTTTGCAACTGGTTTCATAAATAGCTATTAAATCATCAGAAAACATGAGATATTTACTGTTAGAGATGACACAGATCATTAATAAATTGAATTGAATGTTCTGATATGTGTAAATTTTTTACAGGTCTACTTTAGCATCATTTTTTGTGGATCACTCCATACTTTATTGGACTCTCTTACCAGGTGTATAATAAAAAGACATCTTATTCGAATAAACATGGTTTATTTTTAAATAATAGGTATAAATAATTAAAAATATACATTTCCAGATACATGGTAGTTAGATTGAAATGGAATAAGAAATGGATAATTTTACAAACACACACATGTTTTATGTTAATAAATAATGGTTATTTATGTATCAAGGCAACCATAAGGGTATCAACTAGATGTTTATACTCTGATCCATACTATAAATATTGAATAAAAATTTTAAATTTAATTTGATTTTAATAAAAAAAATTATCATAATTGACACGAAATGATGTTAAATATATTTTTTCTCTCCTGTGTCGTTCGTACGGCTGCATTGTAGACTTACGGGCTTAAAGTGCCATAATTTGGATGCCTTACTCCTTCCTATTCATTCAACTCGTACATTATACTCATACATTCCACCGCCCGCCTGCGCCCGAACTCTACGAATTCGGTCACCCATCCAAACCGTGACAAGTCCCATACTGCAGGGCTGTAATACGTGTTTTGAGTACTTTTCACAGTCAGAAACCAATGTTAAGTAGATACTTACATAATAAATTAATTTCATTTTTTGTAATTTTATTAATAAAGGTTAATCAAAAACTTATTTTTATGTGTCTTTATGTGCATGCGAGCCATAAAGTACATTATTATGTAGTTGGTAACTAAGTTATAAAAACACAATAATGAACTAGTAGGAAATACAAATTATATTCATTTTTAAACACTATTCCTGAATGGGTTTAGAGAGCAAATATTCTAAAAAATAAAATCGCAACAAAATTAATGTGATATGTTTCAAATGAAGTTCATTTGGAGTCCATTTACAAGTCTTTGGTGACCTACGACAGTAGAATAGAATAGTATTTAAGGACGCCATCTTGGTTTTTCACTTTTTTCACTTTTTCTTCTTAAATTGGGTCTCCCCCCATCGTATTCAGTTAAAGACACGTGTCTTGTTCGTGATGGTTCTATATTTTCTCGTAAAGATGGATTAGTTGAAGATGAAGGTTTAGAACCCAAAATTCTATCTAGAAAATTACGTTTTTCCTTTTTTACTGTCTTTTGTTCGAAAGTTTCTTTTATTGTCTTTTGTTCAAAAGTTTCTTTTATCTCTTTTATATGTGCTTTAATTTCGTCATTATGCTTGTCTATAATGTGATGGTGGCCTCGTAAGTTACTAACAGTGAAGTAGAAATTTCTGGTAAGAGTTGATATTATAAGAGTAGATGTGGATGGTGTGCACGATGCTAATGTTATAATATTTTCTGTTTTGCCAAATAATCTAATATTTTCACAAAAATTTTGTAAGAAATTTCCACTACCTGAAAAATTTTATAATTTAAAAAATATTGCCGAGTTATACCTAAAAAGTGTGCATTAAATATAAGATTCTGGCTATAATACTCGTAGTATGAGTTTATTTTGAAAATGGAGCCAGAAGACGCATCCGTCTGTTAAAATTTAGGCACACGTTTTGAAAATTACATATGCTTTCCTAATGATGTTCTAAAAATCTTACCACTTATTGGGTTATTGTAAATCACCAATATGTCTGCTTCAGCTGGGGTATCGTAGGCAGTTTTAAAATGTTTCTTGCCGTCTCTTTGAATTGGTGTTTCTGGAGTAGACAGCTATAAAAGAAATAATCTGTTAAACCTATTTAGAAAATCAATTTGATTATTGATGTTTAGGTAATTTATTACTGTAGTCTGAGTATTTTTTGAAAAAAATCTTTTTATCTTAAAAAAAATCTGATGTGTCCAACACATGACTTTCCTATCTAGTTATTACAGGCTTTTTCCGTTTATTGTGTACAACCTATTGCAGCATCTCTATAAATGTTTAGAGGATAAACTAAATATATACATTGTCCACATACATCTACCGCGAAACATTTTTCTATAGATATTCATTGAAAATGAAAATACTGAAAAATTTAAATTTAGCACTTTTCCTACAATTTTTCCATTACGGTCCATTTAAAAAAGATCATGTATGAACAAATATTATAGAGATCGATATCGCAAACAACTTTTATTTCAACAATTTTCATAAAAATCAGAATTTTGCACATTTTGTCAAATTTCTCGAATACGGACCATTTCAGGAAATTTTTACATAAGGCAAAAATTATAGATAATAATATTAGAAGTAACTTTTATTTGAACAATTTTCTTCTCCAAACATAAATAACAGATATATTCCATAAAATATAAAAACGGCCTCCCATAAAGTACCCCCCCAGATGTTCCGACTTTGTCCAAAATCTAATCATTTCACGTCAGGCCGAAATAAAACTTAAGTTTAAAATTTATTGATTTTTTCTTTATCCGTTTTTGAGTTTTTTTCAAATTTCAAAATTTACACATTTTCACAAATATCTCGAATACGGTCCATTTTAGAGAAATTATATAAAAAAAAATATTTTTTCACATTTTGTCAAATTTCTCGAATTCGGACCATTTTAGGAAAATTTTGTAAATAATAAAAATTATAGATAATAAAATAAGAAGTAACTTTTATTTAAAAAATTTTCTTCCCCAAACGTAAATAACAGATATATTCCATAAAATATAAAAATTACCACCTATAAAGTACCCCCCCAGATGTTCCGACTCTGCCCAAAATAAAATCAGCTCATTAGACGCTGGAATAAAGCTTAAGTTTTAAATTTGGTGTTTTTCCGTGGTATCGGTTCATGAGTTATGCGTTATACAGACACACACACACACACACACACACACACACACACACACACACACACACACACACACACACACACACACACACACACACACACACACACACACACACACACACACACACACACACACACACACACACACACACACACACACACACACACACACACACACACACACACACACACACACACACACACACACACACACACACACACACACACACACACACACACACACACACACACACACACACACACACACACACACACACACACACACACACACACACACACACACACACACACACACACACACACACACACACACACACACACACACACACACACACACACACACACACACACACACACACACACACACACACACACACACACACACACACACACACACACACACACACACACACACACACACACACACACACACACACACACACACACACACACACACACACACACACACACACACACACACACACACACACACACACACACACACACACACACACACACACACACACACACACACACACACACACACACACACACACACACACACACACACACACACACACACACACACACACACACACACACACACACACACACACACACACACACACACACACACACACACACACACACACACACACACACACACACACACACACACACACACACACACACACACACACACACACACACACACACACACACACACACACACACACACACACACACACACACACACACACACACACACACACACACACACACACACACACACACACACACACACACACACACACACACACACACACACACACACACACACACACACACACACACACACACACACACACACACACACACACACACACACACACACACACACACACACACACACACACACACACACACACACACACACACACACACACACACACACACACACACACACACACACACACACACACACACACACACACACACACACACACACACACACACACACACACACACACACACACACACACACACACACACACACACACACACACACACACACACACACACACACACACACACACACACACACACACACACACACACACACACACACACACACACACACACACACACACACACACACACACACACACACACACACACACACACACACACACACACACACACACACACACACACACACACACACACACACACACACACACACAGACATCATCGCGAAAATAGTCAAAACGGATTCAGGGGACCTCAAAACGTAAAAATCCGTCGAAAACTCGAGGTCGAAAAAAATCATGATTCCTATACTTTCCTTATACAGATAGGAAAGTAAAAATGATCATTTGACAATGGAATCCCCCCGTCTAAATCCCTATATTTTTTTTAAAATTGCAAAAGAATAACAATTTTGGGTAAATAGTTTATTAAATTGTGAATAGCTTTTGAAATTTTGTAGACTTATGATTTGGGATATTATAATACTGGTTTAATAATTATTTCTAATCAATAAATACACGCGATTGTACGGTTCCGCCGGTAACAATTTAAAATTACTTATTCTATGAAACACCACTGGCAGGTAAACATTACCGCGAAATTCTGGAAGTGGTCCGACGTGGTTTGACATTTACTACCAAAAGCCTTTCCAACGTCTGCTCCTGATATAAACATCAGTCATCTTAGTGAAATTATACAAACGAAGTGAAATATGAAAAAAAGCAAGACATTAAAATTGTAATTTAAGCTTTATTTAAAATAATTAAGAGAATTGCAGAAATCTACTATTAGGTGTAGGTCTTATTATGTTTAACTGTAAAATTTTTAATGAAATCGGCATAAAGCAATTTTTGAATAGTAATAAAAACAGATCAAATAAATAAAATAAATATTATTTATTTTCTATGAGATAATACAATTGTATAGGATTCGTCAAAATACAAGTAAATAAAATAAAAATTGATAAAAACATAAAACTAGAAAATAGAATAAAATATGGGTAGGACTTATACATCAAATTTGTAAAATTCAGTGAGATCATAAAAACAATATTCTAGTAAAAAACCTTTTAATTTTCTTTTAAAAATAAAAAATCTGATGTGTCCAACACATGACTTTCCTATCTAGTTATTATAGGCTTTTTCCGGTTATTTTGTACAACCTATTGCAGCATCTCTATGAATGTTTAGAGGATAAACTAAATATACCTATACATTGTCCACATACATCTACCTCGAAACATTTTTCTATAGATATTCATTGAAAACAAAAATACTGAAAAATTTTTATTTCCTACAATTTTTTCATTACGGTCCATTTTAGAAAAATCATGTATAAACAAAAATTATAGAGACCGATATCGCAAACAACTTTTAGTTCAACAATTTTCATAAAAATCAGAATTTTGCATATTTTGTCAAATTTCTCGAATACGGACCATTTCAGGCAAATTTGGCAAGGCAGAAATTATAGATAATAATATTAGAAGTAACTTTTATTTGACCAATTTTTTTCTCCAAACATAAATAACAGATATATTCCATAAAATATAAAAACGGCCTCCCATAAAGCTATAAAACAATGAATTTAGCCAAAATGTTTCCCCCAAAAAACTATAAAACTTTTGTCTGAAACTTTTTTCTAAAATGCATATTTTCGGCGGTATTTAACTTAATTTGAACACCCGGTATATATCGGTAAAATGAGGATTACATTTTTTTTAATATAAAAAGGTCTTTTAGTGATCGACTTGAGGCTATCCAACTTTTTTTGTTTTTTGTAAGGTACTTTGTTTTTCAGGAAAGCAAAAATTAAAACGATTTTTAAAAATGTCATAAAAGTACGAAAATGCATTATCAAGAATACTAATATTATTTAAAATTATCCAGTCTTCATTGGAAAGAGCTTGTTTAAACTGTGCTATATTATGTTCGCTAACATTTCTTTTTACTACATTCATTTTTGAATCCTTTTCTAAAACTTTAAAGAGATTGAAATCACAAAAAACTGAACGATGATCTGAAATTTCGTTATAAAAAAAACTTAAACTTTAACATTTTGGACCAAGGAATATTTTGTTACATTTGTGCCATAATATGTTTAGGAAACCCTTTTAACTTGTTTAGTAAATTATATTAGTCTGTGGAAGTCTAATATCTCGGAGTTTTTGGAAAATACGAGTAAATGTCAAATATGAAAGTTTTTTGGTTTACAGAGGTGCCTATTGTAAAAATATTTTCAAAAAAGTAAAGCAACATAGAAACTTTTTTTTTCAAATGGAACACCGTTTATTTTTTTTTCTACTAAAAAATAAGTACTTTTGTCTAAAATACCATATATCTAAATTCAATTGTTTTCAGGCTTCTGACATTCGAAAATTGACTTGTTCACACTTTGACAAACTATAGCACCCAAACGACTGAAGTAAGGATAAAACGGTTTACATGCCCATGTCTTAGTTTTTCATATCTATATCTAGTATACCAACTTTTGGTTTAACTGAATCTAAAAAATATTCTAACTTCCGGTTAATCAGGAAGTGGATTATTTTATTGCATATTATTAACATAAAGTATAAAAAACTAAGACGGGAAAATGTGAATGGTTTTATCATAATTTCAACTGTTTGGGTGCTAGAGCTTGTCAAAGAGTGAAAATAGTATATTGTTTAACGAGTGATGAAAGTAGCATTTTCTGCAAACGAGAGAACAGTTTATCAAACGAGGCGCAGCCGAGTTTGATAATGGTCTCATGTTGCAGAAAATGCTTTTCGACGAGTAAAACACTATACTTTTCTATAACCATAGCTTACTATACAGGATGTACAAGAAGTTTGAATGAGTTGAATTATCTTTAAAGTGATCTCGACGATATCTGCGATTTAGGGGTAAACCCCGTTTTACCATGTTTGTTTTGGCATCTACCTATATATTATAATTGAACTTTTCCTATATAAAATCCTAAAAATGAATTCTAAGACTGCAACAATAATTTTATAACATCTGAAATTGCAACCACTTACTTTCGTCACTAGAGACAAAAGTTAAAGTTATGGGTTATTCTATCACTGGTGTCGGATCTGGCGTTTTCGGTTGGAGTAAAACGTGACGAAAGTTGTTGATTTTTAAATGGTTATAGAAAAAGTTAATTTTCGAATGTCAAAATCTTGAAAGCAATTGAATTTAGGCATATTGTGTATAAAACAAAAATAATTAATTTTTTTTAGTAGAATACAAAAATAAATTAAAATAAAATCTATTTGAAAAAATATTTCTTTCTTGCCTTTTGGAAAAATTTTTATTCAGAATAGGCGCCTCTTCGAACCGTAAAACATTTGTATTTGAAATTTTCTCGTAATTTTAAAAACAACAGATATATTGGATTTCCACACATTAATAGATCAACCTGTATATTTAACCAATCACGGTAAGGGAGAGTGGGCAATTGTGCGCACTTAAGCAAAAATCATTATAGCATTGATAGCATTGTAGATAATTTAAATGTAAATACCGTAATGGGGGTGCTGTTAAGAACTACTCTCAGCAGAAAAAAATAAAATATTTAAAGTACAATACTGCTAAAAGTACAAAAGTGCTCTTGCGCACCATTCCCCGCCGTTGCGGGTAATGGTGCGCAAGTGTTAGGGAATCGTGCGCATTAAAAGTATTAAGTATAAGATAAAACCAACACTAACTTTAAAAACATTTATTGAAGTTGTGGAACATTATCCTAACTCCTAATTTGAGCATAGGTCACATTTATAATTTTTCGGTGTATCTGAGCCAGTATATTCGGCATGGTTCCGAGTTGAGCAAAGAATACATCTATACCACAATTATCGTTGTTTGCCAAATTCACCGCAAATACCACAAACTTCGGTTAGTTTCCCTGGCGATTCAAAGGTGGCGGTACGAAGCTCAGACTAACATCATCTTCAATATCATCCAGCTCATCGTCGTCACAAATATCCGACACGTTATCTTCTGATGAATTTGATGATTCAGGCGTTGGCGGTCTCTTTTGTTTGCTTTTGAATTTCTTTGAAGACGACGGAATTAATAATTCACCGTCCAAACGAATAACTCCTTTACTATTCTTATCTTTCAGTTTTTGTTTGGTTTTGATTGCTTCTTCTTGTTGTCTTTTTATCTCTTCAGCTTCTTCTAGTTTTGTTTTGATGGGAGTGCTCGTAAGAATTTCCGATTTCTGTTTGTTCCTAGATTTTCTTCTCGTTGCCTGGTTAACTTTTGTTTTTTGTATTGGAGCCATAGCAAAGAAAGAATTATCATAAGACGTAGATTGCTGAGGGCTCGGATCTCTCTGATGTTGTAAATATGGGTGATTATCTGGAAGTGTTGCTGCACTATCTTGACTGAATGAAGTTTCAAATTCTTCTAATGTAAGTTGGTGGCTAGGTTCAAAATCAGCATCGGTAAATTTGTCGGGATCCAATGGAGATATTCCAGACGTCCGAAACCCTGAAACTGCTTTTCTCATTGTAGCCACTTTCATGAAGGCTTTGTTTAAAAGTTCGGCTACGTCGTATTCAGTTATTTTTTGATGACCGGTACTTGGCAAGCAAAGGTCATATTTCCTAAATAGTGCATTTTTCAGAGAACTAAAAAATGTCAGATCCAGAGGCTGAAGGTGATCAGATGTGTGTGGAGGAAGCGAGACCATGTGGTTGTTATTTTCTTTGCAGAAATTATAAGCTGCAATTGAAATGTGGCTGGAATGGTTATCCAGGACCAGAAGGACAGGATCAGTAACAGTTGGCTTAGCATGCCTCTGAAAGTGACCCAGCCACGTCCGGAATTAATACAACCGTTCTTAGACATTTGTACAACGCCCCAATTGGTCCATTTTTCTCAAGAGTTTTGGACATCCTTTTCCTAGAATATATTATCATGGGAGGGATGTAGTTCCCAGCCGCATTCATACAAAATATAGCTGTTATTGTCCTTCCTCTTTCGCCAGAAATTGCAGCTCCTACTTTTTTAGATCCCTTACGACCATAAACCTTAGGGCATTTGTTCTGCATCATGGTGATGCCTGTCTCATCCATGTTGTAAACACTCTTGGGTTCAAACTTGAAGGTGTGAAAAAAATAATTTGGTTGAGTCTTTATTAAAAGATGCAAATCCTATTCAAACTGGTTCCTTCAGGCTGTCGTAGCTTTATATCAGGTGATCTTCTTAAAAATCCATACAGCCAGGTCCTTTCCAGCTAATCCCTTTTCCTTGTCGAATTTATGGGCTATGTCATGTTGCTCAGCATATCTAAAAGCTAGTCGCCTAAATCACCTGTGTGTTAGGCCATAAAATAGCTTAGCTAGCGTTAAAACGTACTCTTAGATTCTATTTCCTCTGAAAACACAGGCTTGCAACTCAAACGAGGAGGCTTCGGCTCATTTTTTGACAGTTTTTTCTGAGTGTCAATTCAGGAATATTAAAGGCTCTTCCTGCATCCCTTATTTTTTTGCCATCATTTCTTATCGCAAATAATGCGTTTTGTAAATCTTCTTCTGTATATGAAACAATTATGGTTTTCCTTGTAAAATTTCTCGGCATCTGAAAAAAAAAGTATCAACGAGCATCATTACCCCTTTAGACATTAAATGACAATCTGTAATACAGTTAGTAAACTACGTAACCTAACAATGTAAAACAAGTATCAATAGATGCAAAAGATCATACTTTTCCATAAAATAAATATATTTTATCGATTAAGGAAAAAAGTGGACTCACCGTCTAATTTTCCGATGTCAAAAAATTACAGAAACCGGCTGGATTTCAAATAAACAGGGCTCTTTCCGTGCAAACGTGAACAACTAATGTGAGTATGGCGCCAGTGATGCACAGTAGAAAGGAGAGAGTGCAGCACTAGTCGGAGGCGCCTAAAAGCCCGCGAAATATGAAATAGTTTGATGGATTACGTGGATTACTCAACGCGCACGATTCCCCCACTCTCCCTTACTGTTTTAAGGTTAGTTATTTGCAAAATAATAAAAGAGAACAGATTTCCATTTTTCGGGGCGGATAATAAGCATGCACAAGCACGCTCGGACGAATAGTACCTATATTTTTCTATCTGAGGGAGCGCCCCGATGAATAGACGCGGCCAATAATAAATGTAATCCAGATGATTTTGATGGTCCTAGAACAGGTTACTATAGCTTTGTCCCAACATCTCACAAAACCGTAATATTACGGTCATCGTCATGCGCAGTAAATAAAAACCGTTCGACTTTGGGCTTTATTGATAGGTTTTTATTTACTGCGCATGACGATGACCGTAATATTTTTGTGAGATGTTGGGACAAAGCTTATGTATTTATTAATTCACTCAGAGATACATTCATTCTTGTATTAGGCAAAAACTAAATATTTTCGTGCTTGTTTTTGAGCCAAGCATGCTACAATCTTTATCTAAGAAATTTTTATCACGCATGCTCTTATTTTTGAAATTAACAACATTCTTGCTTATTTATAGCTTTCAATTCAATAAACTGAACACAGCAATGTTAATTTATGAATGTCAGTATTCAAATAAAGAATATTTTTATTTCAATTAAGTAGAAGCATGCTGAATTTTAAATACACATTTTTGATTGCATACTTAGATAAATTTATCTGTATGCACGAATTGTCAAAAAAGGATAATGTAAAATATAAAGAGTGATATACAAAATATTGTATGTAAATTTAAATCCAAACGTGATTCAAACTGACACTTAAGAAGAAGGAGAATTATTGTATAAGTTTTTCAAGGCCTACTTTAGAAACATTTTTTACGTATACTAACTCCATACTTACTGCAAAGATAAATATTTTAGGTTTATTCTTCAGTCCGGGACAATTGTATGAATCAAATTTGGACCATATTTGTTGAATATTTATAGTATCTTGTTTGACTCCGTCAAATATTTCTAGTTGACCTGGACTCGTTGGTTTTGTAAACCCAGCAAAAAATAAAATTAATCCAGCGTCATTTGTGTTTGGTCCCTTGGCAACTGCAAAATTCAATTTAGTTATTTAGCAATTTTTACTTCGTCCATGACTCAATAAAAACTGTTTTTACAAACTATAGAGATACAGTATATTTGAACAAGTACATATAGTTGGATAAGAAAAAGATAAACATTTGATAGTAGACACAGACAGGAAAGTAAAAAATAAAAATATTTTTTTAATGTATGAAAATTAAAAAAAAAAAAATTGTGAGTAAACTAAAGATAGCAGGATTAGTAAAGATTCAAGAATATCAAATTTAAAAATAAGTTTGATAAGGTATGTTTCTTTTGTTACTTTTTCTTTGTCCTGGCTTATCAAAATTATTGATAGTGAATATGAAGTGTGAAACATTTAATTTTGATTATAAATTTAATTTTTCTGACCTAGTGGACTATACCTATAATATTTGTTTTATTTTAAAATTATTTATATTAACTTACATATTTATTTATTTTTCATAAAAACGATTTACGTAATTAAATCCAGTTTTTTTAGCGGTTTAGAAAAGTTATGTCATAATACCTAACAACAAAGTCTCAGAAAAATAATCGGAATCTTAAATCAAATATTGTTTGACGTCCCAATTTATGGACGAGCATCTATAACTAACAAATAATAAGAAAAGATGTATGATAAAAGATATGATTAGTGCAATCATTAAAAATATTTAATTATTTTAAATTATACTTCGTAGTTGATTTACCTACCTCTACAAGGGGCGGCCTCGAATTGGGCACTATTTATCTGAGAATATAGAATGTTTATCCGAACTGCACACTCGATAGATGATTAAGAACTGGGCACCAGTAATTAATGCTTGTTTGACCGGCGCGCGGCGCCTCGGCGTCCGATCCTAAATGGCAAACCATACCGAAGTAGGCTTAGCTAGTGACACTGATGTTGACCCTTTGAAATGGAAACAAATTTATCTATCCAATACTAATAATTCTGATTCATTTCAAAACTGGTTTATTATTACAAGTTCAATAAACAATAATAAATACTGTAATGATCTCGTTAGTTTCCTTCAAAAGGGAACTAGAAAACATTTTTAATTAGATTTACAGTTAGTCCAAAAAGTCTCCGTACACTACCTGCTTTATATAGAATTTTTCTGTTGCATTTAATTTATTAATTGAAACTACGAGAGAATACGCTCTTTTCAATAACTGAAGCATAAGTAACGATTATAAAGTTATAATTACAATAAATGGACATTTTTATTTAAAAGAAACATCGGCATTATAAAAATCTATGCAAAATTTATGTTAAAAAGTCTCCGTACACTCATAATTTTCATTAAAAAAAGCACATTATAATTAGCTGCATTTCATCAAGGCACCTATGGCTCGCCAGCCTAAAAACAAATGAATAATTATCGGCCATAATTTATTATCTGTCATTTGTTGTTGGTAGATTTGCAGTGAAGTTTCAAATTAGCATTAAAAATGAGAGAAAGAAATCGTGAAATTGCAATTCCACTTCGAAAGTTGATAGTTGATTTATGGAAAGAAAAAAAATCCCTTAGAAATATTGGAAAAATTGTTAAGAAGCCGTATACTACCGTTCAGTACATTATAAACCAGTACAAAATAACGGGTTCCTACAAGATTCGACCACGTTCTGGTCGTCCCAAGAAACTGACTTCGCGTGAAGAAGCTAGTATTGTTAGGCAAATAATTATAAATCCCAAGAAAAGTGCACCAAAACTAAAAGAAGAAAATGCATTTTTTTGAATCTCGAGCGTTTGTTTATCCACATCGGACACATTTGTCCTACTGCATTTACGTATATTAAATCACGTGATCAAAGATTTACAACATCTCAGGTGCATTTGATGTGGATATTTAAACTCGGCTTAAATCTGCCTTTGTTTTACTATTATTTATTACCTTTGATATTTCAACGTTATTAATTTCGCAAAAAATTGTTATTAATGGAAACACTTTAGTCTTGACTTTAGTAGTAAAATAAATATGTCAATGCTTGCTTTTTAAATTGTCAACTGATAGGTATACAAGAAATATTTGGCTTTCACTTGAAGGTATCCGAAAAAGAGTAGCATATTTCGAGGGTTTTGGATATATTAATTTTAAATACTGTAAAAACCTTAGAATCTAACATATTAAATTTTTTGGAGATCACATTTTTGATGGCGATATTTTTGAAAACCACGTACTAGATTTGATAAAGCTGATATTAAAACATTATTTTAATATTCGCATTCATTATAAAACCACAAAAAAGTTGGATATTTCAAGAAAAAAATAGTATAAGAAGTATAAATACAAAAGTAGTATTGTTTAAAAACGATTATTTTCTTTTTTAAATAAAAACTTAGTTTTTTTTTCAACGCCTAGTACTATCGTAGGTTTATTGTTGTTTAGTTCTACGTGTTTTCGGATTTTACAAAATTCTTATCGGCAGAACCGCTGTTCCATTTAAAATAGCCTTTTATATATGGTAAACTTATTGATTTATTAACTTTTATAAATTTATTAGTCTTAAAAATCTGAATTTTAATTTAAAAATCTCTCATTATTACCAATTTGTAAACTGTTCAAATTAACTCCAAAATTGGATTCGTAAATTTGTTTATAATAAATCTTAATTTATTTATTTTGTTTTTATTTTATTTATTGTATTTTACTTTGTTTAACATCTTTATATGTAATAAATATTGAACTATTCTTGGAAAAAAAAATAGTGTTTTTAAGTTTTTACCTACATTTCACTCAACAGCAGACCCTTATTCCAAATCCAATAGGTTTTAAAATTTACACCATAATAAAATTTATTGCACACTATATAGGTTAGTATTTCATGATTTATTTTTTATATTTAAATACGCCACAGGTATCGACAGACTTTTAGTTGCGTGTATCAGCAGCTTTGCCAGACGAGATTTTCTTTTAATCCGCACAAAATATCTTCTTTCTTTTTTCCAATATTTGGGACCAAAAAAATGATATATCAATATAGTTTTCTACAATAAAATCGGAAAATTTTATAACTCGAGGATCGTTCGGTATAATCGCCATCAAGTCAAAAATATAGCAGTCTTTTACTTGGAAAGGGTCTAAAAATGGCAAACCAAATATATAATTTAGCAATTTTTCTACTTTTATATTCGGTCACCAGACCTAGGTCCTATATTTTTCGAAACTAACACTTTTCTAAATGGAATCGGCATCCTATCAGTTTTATATTTGGGATAACCCCAAGAAGATTTAAAATTAAGGATTTACCTACACTAATTTAATTTTAAAACATATAAAATTATTTAGGTGAATTGACTGGAGAGGGATAATCCCATGGGCAGTGAAACATTTCGGAGGAACCTGAGGCAATATGATTTTTAGAGTGCCCAGTTCATGCATGTTCTCTACAAGTACTTATGCTTAAACCGCCGTAAATTTGTTATTGACTATATTATTTTATTGAGTAATATGACTTCAGTTTTATTTTCTGATAGAGATAATATTTCTGCAATATTAAAAATTTACAAATATTTAAATTATACTTGTTGGTATTTACCTAGAAATATGCCAAGACGAAATTAAAATAAAATTTACTCCCTTCTTTTTCTTTACCTGCAACATTGTCATATTTATTAAATTGTCATCTAGACTTCATAATAAAAAGGTGTTTTTTTATGTTGGAAATGGACGAGCGCTGAAGCGACAAAAAATTGAATGCTCAAAGGAGACACAATTTTTAAGGTATTATGCACATTTATGCTTATTGAAAATCATTATGTGAGTTTGTATGCAAAAAAATATTGCGACTTCCTTTAATTGCAAACACAATTACCACACTACCTCTACGTACTTGTTCAAATATTCTTATATTTTCTTAAAATGTTCTTATCTTTTACTTACTTTCATTCATTATTTTAGGAAAGTTGTCGGTTTCGAGATTATGTCTATTTGTGGAACCAGTCTCAAATTCAATGTATTCTAGAGTCTTCAAAAATTCTTGTTCTAGATTCATACAATATTCGTCATTGGCGACAAATGTATGTAATACAATTTTATATTGGGTTTCTTGGAAGTGTTCATATTCGTCTGGTATCAGTTCTGTGGATGGCTTTACTGTGATTAGTTCCTCTTCAAAATAGGACGCTCGTTTGGGATTAGACGACATGCTAATAATATTCTATCACATTAACAATGGGTACTTTTTGTTAGAGAATAAAATTTAACTACTAACCAATACACGTATGTGTCAATGATTTCCTATCGATTCAATGATTCATTAGATTAGATTAGATAAATATTTCGTTATTAAACAGATACCCTTTAAAAGTTGTTTATATTTAATTAAATATTTTTATTTCGCAGAAACGGCGTGCGATGAAAAAGTGGAAGGATAACCTTATAAAAACAAATTACACTAATAGATATTACAACGCAACAAGTGTTTTAAAACATCTCAAATATAGCTGTAATACAGATTGCTTTGTAAAACAGATTATATTGTAATACAGACTGCACTTTAGAAGAAAACGTTACAATATTAAAAAAGAAATACATTTTTCTTATTGATGATTTTTACGTAAAACTCGATGTTTTACTTATCAATAGAGTGCGGAATATATGCATCAAAATATAACAAAATATGCGCATATATATGCATCGTTTTTACCAAAAATTTGCAGTTATTTTGTCCAATTATGCCTAAATATGCAAATGCATATTTGTTAAAAATACTTAAAAAAAAATAGGGGGTGGGTAGCTCAGTGGTTAGTGCGTTGGCCTGTGGACTTAGGGGTCCCGGGTTCAAATTCCAGCCGGGACGCGATTTTTTAAATTAATTAATTTATTTAAAAATTAATTTTGATGCCTAGCGAATATTTCCACTTGACCATTCACTGTTGGGTTCTAATTAACATTGCTGTTCCTAATTTGGTACGCTATCAAAGCCATTACACGAAAAAAAAATCAAAAGAAAATATGTAATATAAAAATTTATTTAAAACAAACGAAACACAAAAACTAGTAGAAGTTAAGTATAGAATAGTATAAAAATATTAAATAGTAATATTATAATAGGAATTTATAATTAAATATTTTTCGAAATTTTCTATTAAAAATTTTTGTCTTCTGTCTGTAAAAATATGTTTTGATATAGAAAAGGTCCTTTCAACATCTACCGAAGTAATAGGACAATACCGTAATTTTGGAAGTAATGTACAGGGCCAACGTAAAACTTCTTTGGAAAATTTTCCCTCAAAAATGTTTTTCACTTCCCTTATTTCATTGAACCCTTCATTCTTTAATAAAGTTGTATTAAATTTTTTTCTAATCTTAAGGCCTATGTCACCAGGAACATTGTTACATTTATCGGAAACTGTTGCAATAAAATTTGTTGATTCGATTAAACTTAAATTTTTCTTTTCCAATGAAGTTATTACATCAGGTAAAAAACTAAAATTAACCTTTATAAACACGAGTTGCTTAGGCACAAGGGGATTTTTTAACAATTCTTTACTTTGCACTACACATTGTGAATTGTCTTCTATATCCAAAATTAAATCCTTAATTGCTTCAAAATTTTCTTCATAGAATATAACTGCTTTAATCCATGTCCCCCATCGCGTAATTACGGGTTCTGGGGGGAAACACACCACTACCATTCTCTCTTTATACAACTGTACTCTTAAAGGGGCTTTTAAAAATATTTTTTTCACATTCGAAATTAGCTTGTTAACCAAGGGATATTGTGTTCTCACAGTTTCTGCAACTAAGTTTATTCCATGCAGAAGACAAGTAACGTGGACCATATTTGGATAAAATATTTTTAAGTTTTGTTCTACTTTTATCATATATGGTGCTGCGTCAGACAAAAACACTAAGAACTTCTCTGAGGGAATTTGATTTGGTAAAAAAAATTCTGCTAGAGATTGTTGAATAAATTGGGTAACAGTTGTATTGTTAGTTTTTTCTAACTGTTTTGATGCAATTAAATATGATGTACCTGGTTCATTTTCTTTTAAGGCTCCAATCATAAGATGTACCATATATCTTCCACAGGCATCTGTGCTTTCATCAACAATGATGTAAAAATTGCTATCATCCAGTAAAACTTTAATTTCTTCTATTACATTTATATACAGGGTGGCTCACGCTCAACGGGACGGAGCTTCATGGGAAAACGACCAAAGATATAAAAAATTCGTTTGGGAGGAATACGTAGGTTACAGACGGCTACAATTTAAAATTTGTTAGATGTATACAGGATGTCCCACATAAGAGAAAATATACAAAGTTATATTATTTTTAATGGAACACCCTGTTTTTTATTTTAGAATTAAAAACTACATCAAAAATAATGTCAGTTAACTAAAGGTTCCCTATTACTATTATTATTAGTTTTCGATTTATTTGAATTTTTAAGGAAAAAAAGTCTCCCAGAAATTAATTATTTACTCTTGTTTGAATAATTTTTAATGAACTATTTTTTTTTCTTATGTGGGACATCCTGTATACATCTAACAAATTTTAAATTGTAGCCGTCTGTAACCTACGTATTCCTCCCAAACGAATTTTTTATATCTTTGGTCGTTTTCCCATAAAGCTCCGTCCCGTTGAGCATGTACATTTTTTTTTCTGAGTGTAGATTCGTCAGGAATGGTTTGATTGCAATATTTTTGTAAAACTTGTCTTAGATGTAGGTTTTGTAACTTCTTTAATGGAATATTTGCCGCAACAAGAGCTTTGCACAAGTCCTGATTAAATACCTCCTTGTCACTTTTTGTTTTGTCGGCGTTTTGAAATGAGCTCACAACGCATTGTTGAACCGGTTGTGATTTCATTTTTTGCAATTTGGCTTTATGCAATGATGTTTTCACGTGTTGAACCACTTTGAACTTTTTTTTGTAAACCACTATTTTTGCACAAGCTTTACAAAAAACTTTATCCCCATTGATTTCCAACTCTGGAAAGTTAATAATCCACGAAGAAATTCTCGACATTTTAGGACACTTTTAAAACAACAAATTATTACAAGGCAAATAACGAGGATACTATCTCATTAAACAGAATGAAAAACATTCAAAATATTCCGATGTTAGGGTAGATTGGTTACAAGAAATTACTGAGAATTTTATATAAACCGTTTTATTGCATTGTAGGTAATACTTTATCTGTGTAAATACCATCTATTAACAATTACCTTAATGGGCTTAATCTCTTAAGAAGGTAAAAACCCAGTGCATGCCACCCTCCAAGAACTAATTAACAAGAATTTACAAGAAGTGACACTTAAAAACAAATACAAAAATTTAAAAGGTCTTTATTTCAAATATATCTGTATAATCTGTTAAAACAATTTTTGATTTGCACAGTATAGTAATACATTTTTTTTTCGAAAATATGCAATATTTTCTTACATTTTCTGAACTTTGGTAAAATATGCAATATTTTCTGAATTTTGGAAAAATATGCAATATTTTCTGAACTTTGGTAAAATATGCAAAAAATGCATATATATGCATTTTGCATATATTCCGCTCTCTACTTATCAATAATCAGATGATACGTATCTGCCTACTGTATTTATTTTAATGAAGTATATTTTGTTGGCTGTACTTAAACTGCCGTTAAACGGTCGTGTACTAAAATGCCGTTAATATACGTGATGTCATTCAAATGACGCATTTGAAGTCTTTTGAGATTTTTTAAAGAAGAAAATATACAACAAGAAGACGAAGCAACGGCTTCTCATAGGGTGGCGGCTTCGCCGACCGGCATATACTCCAACGGCCTGGACATAGCTTAAATTGAAATGAAAAGTCTCATATAACATAAAATCACTTTGGAAACCAAATTCACCTTCCGACCAAACGCTTTATCTATTAACGGCATTTTAGTACACGGCCGTTTAACGGCAGTTTAGGTACATTCGATTTTTGTTTTTAACCATTGACGCATCCAGATTTTAAGTCTGGGGGTAGTGGTATTAGAGTTTAAGTCTTGGGGGTAGTGGTAAGATTTAAGACTTTATTTTTGATAATACTGCATTTTAGTACCTATATAAAAAGTTAGGTTTAAAAATTCTTGGGGAGTAATAATTACCCCAACTAGCCCCCTGGTATATGTGTCACTGTTTTTAACTGATATTTTTTGATAACAATAATTATAATAAAAAAAAAAAGGAAAAAGAAAAAAGAAAAAAGAAAAAAGAAAAAAGAAAAAAGAAAAAAGAAAAAAGAAAAAAGAAAAAAGAAAAAAGAAAAAAAGAAAAAAGAAAAAAGAAAAAAGAAAAAAGAAAAAAGAAAAAAGAAAAAAGAAAAAAGAAAAAAGAAAAAAGAAAAAAGAAAAAAGAAAAAAGAAAAAAGAAAAAAGAAAAAAAAAAGAAAAAAGAAAAAAGAAAAAAGAAAAAAGAAAAAAGAAAAAAGAAAAAAGAAAAAAGAAAAAAAAAAAGAAAAAAGAAAAAAAGAAAAAAAGAAAAAAGAAAAAAGAAAAAAGAAAAAAGAAAAAAGAAAAAAGAAAAAAGAAAAAGAAAAAAGAAAAAAAAAAAAAAAAGAAAAAAAGAAAAAAGAAGAAAGAAGAATTATAGATGTTAGAGGAAAAGTTTCTGAAATAGCTTCACGAATTGCATTTTCAAAATCTGCAGTTATTGTTTTAGGAGCTAGAGAAACATTTAGATTTAAGCATTCTTTTTTAAATATTGAAAAACAAGATAATATGAGAAAAAGAGTTTGTTAGGAAGTAAACAGAAAACTAGTGAACTATAGTTATTATCTTTTAAACCATGCATTGTAAACAATTGGAGAAAATATTTTGGACAGTACTGAAACGTACCATCTAAGTATAAATCTGCAGAACATTACAAGAAACTAAGATAAGTTTGATAGGAAAATATAATTATGTTATTTTTCTTATTGTTTCTCAACAAGAAATTTTCATTTTTATTTGTGACAGATTCAATTAAATTTTAAAATTCTGTGATGTTTTTTGGAACCTATATTAGACCATTTGACAGTGGCGTAACAACAAATTTAGGGCCCCCCTGCAACTTTCAACATAGGTCCTAATAGATAAGAATTTTGTAAATAAAACCTAAAAATTTTTTTGTTTGGATTTGCTGTATTTTTTTTAGAATTTTAGATAAAACTGCCCTTTAAAATAACGAAGGGTTGG